CCTCACTGTCTCTAAGCCAGCGGTTCTCAACCTGTGGGTCGAGACCCCTTTGGCGGTCGAACGACCCTTTCACAGGGGTCGCCTAAGACCATCCTGCATATCAGATATTTACATTATGATTCATAACAGTAGCAACAGTACAGGTATGAAGTAGCAACGAAATAATTTTATGTTTGGGTCACAACATGAGGAACTGTATTTAAAGGGCCAGAAGGTTGAGAACCACTGCGAGTCCTTCTCACTATTTGAAGACATATCCACATTTTTCCCCTTTCAGATTCTGGCATCCAGGTGAACCCAATGATCCTGTTGAGCTGTGTTATACTGAATAAACCTTCACAAAGCTCGTGGGGTTGGAATGATGTTCCTTGTAAGAACCATCACAGGCCAGTTTGCAAGATGATGAAGATCTACTTATGAATGGGAAATTCTCCGTAAACATGGGGTTGAATTGGTATCCACCATTAAAGAAATACACAATTTGCTTTTTAGAATTCATGTGTAAGCTTGTATAAGTGATCGCAGAGAATTTTCAAGTAGTCTGTTACTCATTCAATTTATACAAAATAAGTGTACACATTAATTCCTGTATTTATTCACACAACGAACATCTATGGAGCATTTTATAGTATACTAATTGATGGAGAGCCTATCTGCAGACAAATGGAGGAGCATGAGCCTCCTCTCCCAATGTTTGTCTAGTTGCTAAGGAGTTAGATACTGATATCATATGACCTGGCTCCTCCATTTATCTGGATTTATCTCTTTATGGGCTGCTCAACCATTACATTCCATCTCTCTCAGGCAGATTCATGATTTTAACTAAAAGCATATTACATATCATTTGGAATACAATGCACATCAATGGAAGATAAGTTTCAGCTTTGGCCCAGTAGGCTCTTGTACTTCTTAACATTCTCTGTTTGGACTTGAACTGTCATTTAATAACAGAGTACAGGCATAGGATAATCAGAGATTGAGCATTGGGTATTCAGAATTAGAGAATTAGAAGTCATTATTGGTGTAAAAACAGAGCCACTTTAAAATGGAGTCAGAACTGCCACCGCATTGAAACTGCCTTGCAGGTCTTACTTCTCAAACATTTGGAATATTAAAACTTGCAAAATAACCTTTGGGCCGGGCCTAAAGCAGCACTGTATCTCAAACAATTCTTTACAAAAACAACAACAAAGCTGATATAATGACTCCTGACTGAAAATTAAAGGAATTCTTTAGAATTAGCATCACTATGTTAGTCTGTCTGCACCTATAGCAATCCCTTGCTTCTATCCAGACATTTGTTCCTATTACTTTCTCAAAAAACCCTTGCCTTCTACTCCTACTAAGAACATGCAGTTTCTTCCTGAATCAATCAGTGCTTCCAGAATAGCCTTTGGGTCCCAAATAAATGATTTTTGCTTCTCACTTTGACCTTATATTTTTAGGTTAACACTGGTGAGTTGACATAGGTTTATATTCATCAGGTTTCTTGATACTTTTTTTCTTTAAGTTTTATAATTTCCATGTAGGGAGTGCTACTCAAAATGACTCCTGGCATATTTGTATTCCTTATTAACTAAAGTTCTTGAACATCATTTTCTTTCTAAAACAA